GCTTGTAAACGCTTTTAAACACGGCAAATCACGTTTATGAGCGTTTGAAAATTTTATTTAACTCTTCCAGTTCCCGATGCTGTCCAGAGCCTTTTTCATTATGAAAAATGCATGCAAAGCGTTTTCATGGTACTCAGATGGACAAAACACTGAACACAGGATGTGCCTACCAAGCTGGTCACACATTGTAATGACCAATTCATACCTTAGACCTCCCACCCTTGGAAACAAAAGATATGTTAATGACCATTCACACCTCAAATTCCTCATGAAGACCCCCTGCCAGGTGACCTTAATGACTCACTCCACCAGACACCTTTCCCACCCTTGGAAACAAAAGAAATGTTAAGGAGCAACTCACACCTAATTATCTCAACACATACTGCTCTCTCTGCTTCTACTCTCTGTATTTCTCTGAAACAGTCTGAAACAGTTAATAATTTACCACTTTTCATTGCATTCTGGGCATTTAGGAGGTTCTACTGTGCTTATCTTTAAAAAAAAACGCTTCTAAACATAAACGCACATAAACACACATAAAAGCGTTATGCAAACGTGGCTGAACAGACGTTTTTAACCTACTTTTTCCAGCAGTCAGTTTCCATTGTTCAGAAGTGTCCCGTGTACATGGGGCCTAACGCTCAAGCGCTAAATGTGCCTAATGTTACTGTACATTGAGACGGGTCAAGCATTTTTTCTGCCAAAATGCTGCTGCTCCCTGAATGTGCTGGCAGTGGGTTTTTTCTGGCTTTAAATGCCTGTAAATGCCTATGTGTACATGGCGCATACGCTAACTTTGAGGGGCAATATAGGAAAGAAAAATAAAAAGTTAAATGCTCCCATAAGTGGCATTTGTAACACCCAGTGTGCATGAGGCTTTATTGTACTGAAATCCTATCCACACCAGAGCACTGCATTACTGCCCATGTGCGTTGTGCTGCTGAAAGCATGCACTATTTCTGGTCACTGTGGTGCGTTAAGCAGCGTGCTCAAATAAGTGGCCTTAAATGCACCGCAACGGCTGGTGTGAATGCGCCCTACGCAGTCCCTTCACATAAAATTAATTTTAGTTTTTGGCAGATGCTAGAAATTTAAGAGATATTTTGTCTGTATGAAAAAAACAAAAACGAAGAAACTTCTGCAGGAATATAATGTGGGTACCTAGAGGCTGCCTATACGCACTATAACAGCTTCAGAGCAGTGAATGCCAGCCCATTTTTTCTAAAGACTCATTAAATCAGTTTTGGTAATTTGGTACTTCTTCCCCAAAGGTTGTCTTCACAGGAAAGAGAAAGTAAAATCCCTGCTTGACAATAACTAGTCTTAAAACGTCCCCTCCCCCCTCCTGCTACCTATGTTGACTAACTTGTGTAGAAAAATAAAAAATGTGTTTACTTGCCCATTTTCAGGCCGCTCCAGTCTAGTAAAATGATCTGGCTCCCCTGTGTCGGTCAGCAGCAGCTGCAGCAGGGAGTGGATGGAGCACCAACAACTGCTGGGACAAGGGAGTCTATGGGTGATGTTACCGCTTCAAGAATTACTCACTTTAAGATCAGGCCTATTCTGATACTGTTTACATGTAAAAAATCTGTATTTTTTGCTAGAAAATTATGTAGAACCCCCAAACATTATACATTTTTAAGCAGAGCACCTAGAGAATAAAATTGTGGGTTTTGTATTTGTTTATGTCACACGGTGTTTACGCAGTGGAAAAAAAACACTGCAATTCATTTTAATGTCCACAAACACAATATAATAGCCAATATATTGGTAAAAGAGAACAGATGGTGTTGTGCCGAGTAAATAAAAACTTAACATGTCATGGTTTAAAATTGCGCACGCTTGTGGAATGGCACCAAACTATAGTATTTAAAAATCTCCCTAGGCAACGCTTTAAAGCCTTTACAGGTTACCAGTGGAGAGTTACATAGGAGGTCTGGTGCTAGAATTTTTCCTATTGCTCAGACGTTCGTGGCAATACCTCACGTGCATTGCGATCGCCATTTATGTATGCGTGCAGGACCAATGCATGCATTCACCTTTGCACACAAGCACAATGGAATGGGTACACTTTAAGGAAAAAAAAAAAAAAATGATAGTATTACTTTTTTTAAAAAAAAATAATTAATTTTTACACTGCATCTTTATTTTTTTTAATCACTTTTATTGATATCACAAGGAATGTAAACATCCCTTGTGATAACAATAGGCAGTGGCAGGTCCTCTTTATGGAAAGATATGGGGTCTACAAGACCCCAGATCTATCCTCTACCCTCAAAAGCAAGAGATTTAAAAAAAAATAAACAAAAAACAAAACAAAACAAAAAAAAACACATTGATATCACCTTTAAAAAAAATGGCAACATTTACATTTTCCTAACCAGAAGCGACGCAATGCTTGCCCCTTAAAGGACTCCTAGACCATAGAGATTATCAGAGACAATACGGTCCCTGGTCAGCTCAGCTTTGGTAAGCATTATTTTATCATTTTATGAGCTATGACTTAAAATTCAAAGTGTTACTAAAGGCATAAATGTTTTTTTAATTAAAATAATATGTTATACTCACCTGCTCTGTGTAATGGTGTTGCACAGAGCACCCCCCAACCTCCTCTTCTAATGGTCCCCCCACTGGCAATCTTGGCTCCTCTTCTCCGTGTGCCCCCATATCAAGCTGAGCTTCATAGACACACACAGTGAGGCTTAGGATGGCCATACATTATACAATTTTCCTTTAGATTTACCAAAACCTATAACATGAAGTTGACCCTAAACAACACTTTCAAAGATATCCAGTTAAGCAGGCCCTTGCACTACATAGTTGAAGGTAAATCTAAAGAAAATTGCAAGAAAATGTTATAATGTATTGTCAGCATTAAATACCCCCCCCCCCCCCCTCCCCAATTATCCCTCACAGTATTTGATTGACAACAGCAGGAGCCAATGGCTCCTCCTGCTGCCCAAGTTCCTGCGTGAAGAGGAGGAGAGAATAAATCCAGCCATGCACAGCACTGGATCAATTGAGTACTCGGGTAAATATTTAGGGAGGTGGGGGAAGCAGCTATCTGCAAAATGTTTACGGCAATGCATTAAAAGGTAAAAAAAAGTTTTGGTGTTAGAAACACCTTAAACCTCAGAGATTACTGCACAGGTGATGCCTCTTAAAAATGCCACTATCTTCTGGCTGGTGAGTACCGAGTTGCAGTGAGGCATCTATAGAGGAGAGCAGGAAATAATTCCACCACTGAGAGATATTTATTCTCAGGTGAACTGAACATTTCTTGAAGGTAAAATAAAACAAACAAGCAAGGCTCCATTCGCACAGGCATTTTGCCAAGCTGTGAAACCCAATAGGAATCTACCGATTCCAGAGGCTGGGATTTGCCTGCGAATATACAGCTACATGTCGAGTTTGCCCTTAGAGTGCATCTATACTAAAAAACTTTTAGTTTTAGGGTTTTGTTCACACCAGTCCATTTGCAGACTTGCCCAATGCACAGACAAGACACGTCCTGTTCTTTCAGTTCATAACACACTGCTGAAAAAAAAGTAAGCCATGCTGCATTTTTGCGCAGCACATATCAACAAGCTAGACCCCATTCATGCGGGTGCAGGTGCATGTTCTCAAACTTACGCTGTCTACGTTCAGGGTCATGTATCCGCACCCATATGGATGTTATTTTGGGAGCAGCGACCACGTCTGTGCACCCACTGCATCCGAATTGACATCAATGGGACTGCCTGCACAAGGAAGTATGAACACCTCTGCACGCCCGGCCCTTGCATGGGTACGCATTAATATGCCCTGTGTCAATGAGGCCATAAATAACCTGTCAAGTTTAATTAAAAGGAAAAAATAAAAAGAACAAACACTGCAAAGTGTTGTGCACTTTGGTCAAAGGAAATAATAAAATTTGAAATTGTACGTTATCTATCCATAGCAACCAATTTATGAAAATCTAGAGCAGCTCAAAAGTTCAACGTTCTATTAGTATCTACAATACACGGTTATTATTGGAAGTGAAAATCTAAAGCAAGCCAGGCCTAGCAAAAAGGGAAAGACTGGAAATACCATGAGGACGGAGTATTTACTACTGAATAAATGGCCTGGGTACAGCGAGCTGCCCGTCTGTGTGTGATGTCACCTATGGCGCTTAGCCATTCTGAAACATGAAGCTATCCTTTAACAGATTCATCTTAGTAAACTTGCCAAAACAAGGTGCAGTTCCATCCAACTCATTTATTATAAATCATTAGATACTTCCGATATGCGGCAACATCCCCTTTCGTACTGACTGACAACCGCTTTACCAGACACCTTCATAAAGAAAAAACAGAGAAAAAGCAAATTCACAATATGTATAGCTTAAAAAAAAAAAAAAAAAAAAAAAAAAAAAAAAAAAAAAAAAAAAAAAAAAAGGGGAGGGAATGAACACTTGCAGCCATTTTTGAAAATAGAGAAGACACTAAACAGAGAAAAAAAAAAAAAAATCTAAAAGCAGCTTTTCATCTGACATCCATAAGTGTCTGACATTAAACAGAGAACGTGGATGACATGCACTGTGACAATAGTGTGACAGTGCAGCATGCAGGTCCCCGTGCGTCAGTGTGCGCAGCTCTGTAATGTGTGTAACTGACAGGTAGAGGAGGCCCCCAGCAGGTACTGTCACAAGTAGAATGTCACAAGTGTCATCAGTGAATTAGCAATAGAAGTCTGGGTCCATAAATAAGAATACCACTATAGTTTAGTTGCGTGTAGCGGAGTAACTAGTAGGCGTTTTTCCAAGTACCTTGCATAGTTAGTACAGCAATCTCCCCACTGAGCTATTCATTGACTGTAAGCGTTGATCGGATGCTGATCAGCTGCTGCTTTCCAGCATGCCTGTTTGACAGGAGCTAGATGTTACGTTAGCTTCTGTCAGACAGGTTGCTGTACACACTGGACGAATGTCTGTCGGTTTCCATTGAACCGGCAAATACTCCACCCGTGTGTACCAGGCTTAAACCCACAACAGTAAAATCAGTCCGTATATGCAGTAAAGCATGCTTGCTATACTCACTGTGGAACCTAAGGGGTTAATCCTCCGCATTGTGTAAAAAGGCTGTTTGATGCTTTCTTCTCTGCCCCTTCTTTTGTTGAAATGACTACCTGATACACACTGAATACGTAGTCACATGCACATGCTCAGTTTGGTGTATATTGCTAGAGAGGTTTTTTTGTTTTGTTTCTTTTTCTTGGGAGCGTGAATGTGATCAGCACAGGTCCAATCAGCACTGTCCAGACAGAGGGTCAAGGGTTTCACATCCTCCTAGAGCAGAAAGAAAACTCCTCCTACAAGCTTTAACCAGTGGTCTGCTGAAGTCACAAGACTGCTCTAACTGCTGATGAGAAAAGGTATTTAGCATTTTATATTTACCGTATTTGCCGGCGTATAAGACGACTGGGCGTATAAGACGACCCCCTACTTTTCCTGCTAAAATGTAGTGTTTGGGCTATACTCGCCGTATAAGACTACCCCTCTTCCAATGCACACCAGTGGGAGGAATAGTGCCCCATCATTAGTATCAGTGGGGGGAATAGGTGCCCCATCATTGGTATTAGTGGCAGGAATAGTGCCCCATCATTGGTATTAGTGGCAGGAATAGTGCCCCATCATTGGCATTAGTGGCAGGAACAGTGCCCCATCATTGGCATTAGTGGCAGGAACAGTGCCCCATCATTAGTATCAGTGGGGGAAATAGGTGCCCCATCATTGGTATCAGTGGCAGGAATAGTGCCCCATCATTAGTATCAGTGGGGGGAATAGGTGCCCCATCATTGGTATCAGTGGCAGCAATAGTGCCCCATCATTGGTATCAGTGGGAGGAATAGTGCCCCATCATTGGTATCAGTGGCAGGAATAGTGTCCCATCATTGGTATCAGTGGCAGGAATAGTGCCCCATCATTGGTGTCAGTGGGAGGAATAGTGCCCCATCATTGGTATCAGTGGGAGGAATAGTGCCCCATCATTAGTATCAGTGGGAGGTGGAATGGTGTCCCATCATTGGTGTCAGTGGGAGGTGGAATGGTGTCCCATCATTGGTGTCAGTGGGAGGTGGAATGGTGTCCCATCATTGGTGTCAGTGGGGGGTGGAATAGTGCCCCATCATTGGTGTCAGTGGGGGGTGGAATAATGCCCCATCATTGGTGTCAGTGGGGGGGGGAATAGTGCCCCATCGTTGGTGTCAGTGGGGGGGAGGAATAGTGCCCCATCGTTGGTGTCAGTGGGAGGAATAGTGCCCCATCATTGGTGTCAGTGGGAGGAATAGTGCTCCATCATTGGTATCAGTGACACCAATGGTGGGGCACTATTCCTCCCACTGACACCAATTACACTTGCTGACCCTGTTCTAGTATGGTGCTGCTGCAGCCAGCATATGTGGTTGCAGCAGCACCTCTACACTGAACACTTACCTGCTGCTCCTGCACTCGATTTTCGTGGGGCCGCTCGGCTCCACCCCTTCGCCGGTGATTGGCCGCCTGTGTGCCTTTCCTGAGCTACAGTTCTGGCGGCCAATCACCGGTGAGGAGGCGGAGCCGAGCAGCCGCACGAACATCCAGTGGCCGAACTGAAGGAGCAGCCGCGCTTCCTGGACCGGATTGTCGTGGGACCGGAGCCAGGTAAGAAACAGCCCCTGCCCACCCCTGTACTTAGTGTCCCTTCCGTTGGAAAGGGGGGGGGCGGCGGCGGCACCGCGCCGCCCCCCTAAAAAGTGTCAGTATGCCGTATACCGGCGTATAAGATGACTTTTGAGAAGATTTTCAAGGGGTAAAAAGTCGTCTTATACGCCGGAAAATACGGTACTAAATAATTGCACTTCCATGTTATGTGTACTGTGGAAGACCAGATATAGTGAATGCAGGGTCCTGGGTTTAGTATCACTTTAAAGCGGAGCTCCACCCAAAAAGGGAAATTCCGCTTTAAAGACTGGTTCCCCATTAATGATTAGCACCTTTGGGGAGATGGGGGGGCGGGTACATGAAATTGACAGGTGCCCGCTCCCACTTCCATTGTGATCGCCTAGGCCAGTGGTGGGCAACCTTTTTTTCAACTGAGCCAAATCTCGCCAAAACCACGATTGAAATTTATTTTGAGAGCCACATTTTTAAAACTGAAAATACATAGGATGGTACACTGTTTTTAGTTTCAATAAGTTTTTATAGTAATTCATCCCCCATAGTAATTCATCCCCCACATAGTAATTCATCCCCCATATAGTAATTCATCCCCCATAGTAATTCAATTTCATCCCCCATATAGTAATTCATCCCCCTTATAGTAATTCATCCCCCATATTAGTTCATCCCCCCCTATAGTAATTCATCCCCCCTATAGTAATTCATCCCCCATATTAATTCATCCCTCATATAGTAGTAGTAAGTAAGTAGCAAGTAGTAAGCCAAGTCCCCCCTGTGTCAATTCACTTACCTTTGCTCCGCGCGTTCCTCTCGCCGTGTTCCCACGCCGTTCCGGTCTTCAGGGCGGACTGTGAGAGGAGCCTAGCTCCTCTCACGTTCATCACGCTGCCCCGCCTACACACATCCTGACAGCCAATCACTGGCTATCAGGATGTGAGTGGCAGCGAGACTGGCCAATCATTGCATTTGAGCGCGCTGCCCTGGCTGGTTTTTTTTTGGATCACGCTGCAGAGTCCCTGCCGCCCGAGAGGAGGGAGGGGAGCGGGCGCCCGGCACACAAGAGCCGCATTAAAGCGTGTAAAGAGCCGCATGTGGCTCGCGAGCCGCGGCTTGCCGACCACTGGTCTAGGCGATCAGAAGTGGAAGTTTTCCTCCTACCCTTCCTCTCCGTAGTGTTCTGGGATATGTGACAGGTAACAGAAGACGACGGGACCATTCAGGAAGAGCAGCGCTACTCGCGCATGTGCAGTGGGTACCTGGCTGTGAAGCCGCAAGCTGTCACAGCCAGGTGCCCACACTGAAGATGCCGTGACTGGAACACCAGACGGCTGGTGAAACGGGCTGTGGGGAGGACACTGCAGGATCGTGGGACAGGTGAGTGGCTGTTTTTTTAAAAGCCAGCAGCTACAGTTTTTGTAGCTGCTGACTTTTATTTTTTCACAGTGCGACTAGAACTCTGCTTTAAGGCTAAGTATTCACAAAACAAGTCTGCGGATAACAGGAGCCAGTTGTATTTCACAGACCGATCTTTGTTTGGTGCTCTTGGAGGTTCCTTTATGTAACACGGTTTTACCACTTTTTTAGGTTAGAAAGCCTTGTATCCTGCTAAACATTGTTTATGTGCTAATTATCTTCTGACTGACTACAGATGTTACAGAGAGGAACTCAGTGTGAAGCCAACGGCAACTTGCTGCTTCTACTAAACAAAAACACTTTACACAGATCACTTCTGGGAAGTTTTTAAAAGAGGAAAATAGCAAACATTTCACTCTATTGAGAAATATACAAGCCTTAACCTGCAACAGCTAAAGTGTGCCTACCAACCTCAGGGGACATGGATGTTTTTCGGAAGAAGTATCACTAATAGGATTCAATGCAATGCATGGAAATACAGTGGTAGTAAAGGTTAATATCAACTATTTTTAAAAATGTTCTCTCCCCCTCTTCCTACTTATCCTGCATACCCTGTATAAAAACGTACCTGTACTTTCCGGTTTTTAATCTGCTCGGGTCCGGTCACGTGATCCTGCAGCTCCTGCTTCCCAGTGTTAGGGAGCGCTCAACAGCTGTGAATTCCCAAAACTGAGGTCACCCATAGGCAGGGCTGTCCTAATGCATGAGCACCCCTGGGCACTGCCCAGGGGCCCCATGATAATCTTGCATCATACTTGCCAACTGTCCTGGATTTGCTGGGACAGTCACACTTTGTACTAAGCTGTCCCAGGATGCCATTTTTTTGTTTAAATTAAATTTTATTGAGAGTACTAATAAATATATGTTTAATTTTATCAACTATTTATACTTTAATTCTTGAGAGTAGGTGTGTAAATTGGGACAAGCTGGTGGGGACCCCAGTACATTACTTTGCCCAGGGGCCCATGATGCTATTTAGATGGCCCTACCCATAGGCTCCCATGGCCTAGCTGTTGTTGGTGCTCCCTTCTCTCCCCTGCATCAGCCACTCACTGACACAGGGAAGCCGGAGCCGCTGGATCACGTTGCCGAACCAGAGCAGAGTCTCCCTGCTGTCAGAATACAATAGCTCAGCGGGAAGGATTCCCTCATCCACCTCAAAATGTGTGGATCTGGGTCAGTTTTTTTTTTCGCTCAACCCTCTGGTTGAAAGAAAAAAAAAATTGATTCATCGATGGACTGCTTTACTCTATCCAAAATGAAGAAAAAAAAAAAAAGAAAAGTTGTAGCTGAAAACACTGTAGAGAGGCAGCTGTGCTGAACTACCCTCATGGCTGGAGCCAGTAAGGCAAGTATGACTCCTTATTCCTGTACCCCCTAGACTAGAAATGAATACACCATCAACTCAGGTTGCTGCCCGATGACCAGAAAGTGGGACATCTCATCCACTTAGGGAAACCAGATGGAATGAATTGCTTATGGAACCGCAGCAAACAATAATATGGCAGCCCTAGTCCTGGTACCAAGGTGTAGACGGTCATGGCACATGTTAAGACATCAAACTGTAGCAGTTGTATACAGTATGCAATGGACTTGGCACCAGATTTTGTCTTTCATCTGCTATGACATCCAAGAGGAAGGTCATGTCACGGAATGTTCATCCAGCAGCAATATTCAACCAACCCAGCTTCAAAACAACACACCCTCAAAACAACCTTGTCCTACAACAAAGTGTTTGTTACCCTCATAGTAATCTGTTTAGTAACAAAAAGAGTGATCCTTCATAAATAGATCCAAACCACCCACATTAAATCTTTGCTTGAATAAACTGACTTTCATCTTTCAAATCGACTGGACTGAGACAAATCCGCATGTAGCATCACAACCTGCGCAGGGGTTAATGTGCAATGCTCCTGGAGGCCCGCAGCAGTGCACAGGTTGGGCCTCTTGTCCTCATCTCATCTCATCAAAAAGGAAGGATCTATGGAGATTTTCCTACAAACTGGAACATTTCTGAGTGCTCCCGTGCTGAAAACACTCATTACGACCCTAGCAGCCCCCTTTAGGGTTGGTTCACATTTGTGTGGGTGGTGCCGCTGCGGGACCCTCACAAATACCAGCAGGTACACCACCCACACAGAGGAATGCGGGACCCGCAGACAGGTGCCATTAATTCTAATGGCACACTGCCCGCACTGGAAATCGCAACAATACTGGGAACCTCGGTTCCCTTGCGGGCTGCAATTTCCGAAGAAGTGGGCTTCTTCCCTGTGTGTTCAAATGAAT